TGGGACCTCCCTGGGTCTATGATTTTAAGAGTAACCCCTTCATTCCACCCTGACAATGCAGTGAAAAGCAGTGGAGCAGTTCCTTGTTGACACAGTTTTGAATGATTCTTAGCCACTTATTTTGACTATAAAATATTATTACTACTGCTCAATAATTAACAATTATTGCACAAGGTTGAGCAAAATATCATGATTTGTCTGTGGCAAGCAAATCAATTATTTGCCGAAGCCGAAGGAAAATCACGATATTTTGCAATAACCGAGTTCAATAATAATTTGTTTTATCATTCAATCTGACACTGAGTTTGTTTTTTATTGAATATCCTTGGGAAGCAAGCGATCTGCCATTTTCACGCAACAGCGATCCCAAGAAGGAGAAAAGCACGGTTTCTTTACGCATTTGCAGAATATTATTTGCAGCCAAACACGGTTGGATGGCATTGCGCATGAGCAGACCATTATTTGTAGGCAGTTATTTGCAGGTTACGTGGTGGGCTCTTGGCCAATGAAAAGAAAGAAAAATTTGCTTCGAATGATAATAATAATTATGCTGCAATACTTACTGACTCTCATCACTATGTCATGGACAATGCTGACAAAAGCTGACAGTTCACAAATAAAAATTATCCTGCAAACAGAAAAAATAGAATTAAACAACGCTTAATTACTAAGGAACTGATCCTGATTACAACGCAACTCTGTGACTGACAAACTAAAGGGAATCCTTGAATGGCTTGTGGGAAAGATAAACCACATGTACAATACATCTTGCTTTGGATTCTTCTGGACATAAAATCCATCCTTTATAGACCAAGCTTTTTCACAAAAAAGGAAATTGCATTTCTGACTTTCTTTCTCCTATGAAGCACTGTAAGTTTACTGCCCATTTTTCAAATTCCATGAAAGCTTCACCCCCTTCCCCCCTCCCCACACCAACTCCCCCCCACCCCCACACGCACACTTAACAGGTTTGAAAAATCAGGACATCACTATAGTTGTTTAAAGGCAATTAACAATAATTGCTGCAGTGAATTGTTAGTAATAATGCCTTTATATAATACCCCCATAGGTCTCTCTTCTGTGCTGTCCTGTTGTCTGCTAACATCCTCACATTGTTGAGTTCCCTGTAAAGAAGTAATTGAGTTAATGATGTAAAACTGCAGTGAAATATAATGCCTATAAGGGGCTAAGAACTGGCTGTCAATTTTAAACAACTTTATTTGTTATATTATAACTTGCTTGAAAATTTTATGACAGCCCCGGTCACTTTATAGATAACGTTCTAGATTGCATCATTTTGACTGCATACTGTGGGTCTTCATCAGGCAATGGTCTCAATTTACTGAGCAAGACTATTACAGTTGAATCGTCTACAATGGCCACCTATAGCCAACTTGGGGACAGAAGAAAGTGGCCGTTGTAAAGTCAAAGAGGAGGCCGTTGTAGAGAGGTTTTAACAAGAGTCAATGTACGGATTTTTGTCCACCGGGACGAATAAAAGTGGCCATTGTAGAGAGGTGAGCGTTAGCGGAGGTTTGACGGTAGTAACAATGTGATTGCAAGTGAACCTCACTCATGGATGGGGAGTTTTGATCTGAAGATTGATATTACATATATCAGTAAATTCTAGATTACTGCATTGTAAGATGTCTTTGATACAGCTGCAGAGGCATGCTTGTTTACCTTGTGATAACAACCCCGGAGACCATGAAAGCTTGAACAACAATAATTTCAATGCTTGACAAGAGCAGCCACTCAGGTTCTGTGAAAAAAAAAACACGCACTAAGTAAGTAATTAAAGAATTATCAGCAGCCCGAAGAGAAGCAATCAATGTATGCATGTGTCATGCTTGAGTACTAACTCAATTATCATTACCTACATAGAGGATATTACACGGCCGCACGGAGATACGAAATTTCTCTTTGAGTGTTGAAAAACATTTCACAAGTGAGCACAGCGAACAAGTGAAATATTTTTTTCAACATGAGAAGAGAAATTTTGTATCTCCAAGTGACCATGTAATGTGAAAGGTGCAATTTATCATGTAGCCATAGCAACAGTGATATTTTCACATGTGAAGATATCAAGTTTTCGCACGAAAGCTCACTTGGTATTTCATTGCTGTTTATATAATAAATTTGTATTAAACTCCCGGCCTTATGAGGTAATGGGTAGCAAAGTTGTTAGTTTTTTTGGAAGATAAAATGTAAGTTTCTTCACGATGTAATGTAATCATTTTTATCATTTCAAATCTTACAGGCAGTTTAAAGCAAACCTGAATGATTGATGGTTAGTTTATACTGTATGTGCTGCACTCACAATATTGTACCTGCACATTCCTTGTATTCATGCTTCATTTTTGCAAGTCCAACAACTGCTACAATCAACAGGACGAGAAAGACAGCTCCCAACACTTTGTTAGAGTATCTAAAAGATGTAAGTGTTTTTAAAAAGTCTCACTTCAATTAATACAGTACACTGAACATTGAATAGGAAGATGGATAATCTAGAGATTTAGAATTTTCCTTTGCACTACAGCACCACAGGTATGAAATCATAATAGGGGGTTGGGGGGGGGGGGATAGTCACAAAAAGTGCAGTTTTACAAGGCTAAAGAGTAAGAAAAATAATATTTAAAAAGTACCAAAGAAATCATCTTCTGAAGAGTAGAATAATATTTCCATAATAATTATAATAATTACAATAATAATAATAATAATAATGGACAAAGTATGATATACAAATCTATCAATAAAACCTAAAGAGTAAGAAAAATAATATTGAAAAAGCACCAAAAGAATCATCTTCTGAAGAGAAGAATAATATTTCAATAATGATTATAATAATTGCAATAATAATAATAATAATTATAATAACAATAATAATAATGGATAAAGTATGATACACAAATCTATCAATACAAACCTTTTTAACCTTTCCTCGGTTTCAAATCCTATCATTCTGGCTGCTAAGCGGCAATGAAAATTGGTAACTATAAGAAACTGTTGAAACAAAGAAAAATCAATTACACACCAAGCAAACAAGTCCTGCAACCTGTGATTATCTTAAGTTTTACCTCTTGTCTAGCTTTGGAAATTACCCGCAAATAAAAAGGTTATCAACTTAAGCTTATCAACTTACTTGACTAATTTTTATGAACTCTGATACCAAGTGCACAGCAGTGACAGCCAAATACAACCAGTTGATTCCACTGAAACAACAATTATTTTGAGAGTCAAACACAGAGAGTTGAAAGTTACAAAAACTACTAGAAAACTAGAAAAGTTTTGAAAATTGTGCAAAAAAGTAATGACAAAAACACCCAAAACATTAATTATTGGTGAAAGTGACAGTCTAATTTTACACAAAATAATTATGAACAAAATCATCAGAATGCATCTAGGAAAAAGAAGACTGCTTTGAAGGACCAATAAAGTTGACTTGTAATAAATTATCTGTGCTACATGTAATTAACATCATGACTGAGCCGATTTTCTAAAAAATTATGTTCGATATAACATAATATAATTTATTATTATAGCTCTTATGCATGTTTGAAAACAAAATTCTTGCTTTTGCACTCTTTATGCATGAGGGTAATTGTTTTCAACCCTGCTGCACGGGTAATTAATAAAATGTGTAAAACTTTGCAAATTTACAATTTCAAAACAAGGCTTGTTTGTTTGTGTGCACAGCTGTATTAGTAACTAATTAACCCTTCAATCCCCAATATCCACATATAAATTCTCCAGACTGATATTCATACATCTCCTTAGTCTGAGACAAGTTGAGAGAGTTTAATAAAAGATCAAAGCATTTTCTCTTTAGTGATCATTAAATAAAATCAAATTTTGATTAAATCTCGTAACCATTTCTCTTGACAATGTATGGATACATTAGGAGAAAATAGATGTTTGTCATATCAGTCTCACCATAGGATACATTCCAAAATTCCACTGTAGAAAATGATATACTGATTGATCAGGGAATGATGATGAGAATGCAGCTTGTAGAGCTAAGTCAACAATACCAACAGAAACTGCTAGCTGTTTGATTCCCCGCCTACTTGTTGTATTTACCCGGCAACTTGAAATCTTAGTGACAACCCTGGTCAGTTGTCATCCATTTTTAAAAAAGATTAAAGTTTTGTAAGATTTTTCACAGGTAATTGAACATGAGACCTTAGGTTTTGTTGCTTTGAACAGAGGTATCCTGAAGATAAGACACAACTCAGTGGATAAGTGCTAAAAAAAGCCATTTATATTGCACTATCTGTTGGACAAAGTTGGCATCGTATTGCAACTCTAAATGATCTGTAAGTAAAGATGGTACGCTACCAAGTCCTACAGAATACATTGAATTAATTCTTATCATTTCATAAACAACCTCATAAGGAAAAAGCACTTTCATGTGAGATTTGTTAGAGCAACATAAAACAAAAAAATAAAAAGGTGTACAACAAATTACTAATTTATTGGTTTCTGTACATGCCAACCTCATCCCCAGAGCTTTTCCCTTAAAAAATGGGTGGGGTGGGAAAAGGCCCTGGCATCAGCTGGTCAAGTGTAAAGCCTAAATATTCCTGAAAAGCTAATTTATATGCAATCTGCTGGTTTTGCGCTGACAAAAGTCAGAGGGAGTAATGATGGAAAATAACAGCATCGCAAACTATGTCAAAATTTCGCGTGTATGCGATTCAAAAGCTTAAGATCCATTTAATTGCGCACAATTCAAATGCTACAAGTTTATGGAAGGGCGCACCGGCTCTACATTATCACGTACAAAATATGTCCAATGCTTCAGACTTGAGATAAGCTAGTACTGCGACACAAATTCATCGTGACTGTGGAATTACTGTACAATCAATCGGAAAGTGATTTTGTCCAATGTCAAACAAAAATGCCAGTCTTTGCCTCCAGCATCTGCAGTGAATTTAAACAAATTGAACATAATTGAAATAGAATTGTTCATCAAAATGCTTTAAGGAGTCTGGTCTTCTCTACAACCCAACCATGAAACAAACACATCTCCGCGCTGGATGCAAGTCATCCCTCAATCCTGCCAGGAACAATGACAGGTCGCCGATCTGAAACATTTGAAGACCTCTGATATCTTTTCTTTTCCAAGGGTAAGTACAAAGGAGTTTCTTTATATCAAAGGGAAGATTGACTGATTGATTGATTGAGCACTGTCTATTTAAAAAGGACCCAAGTCTTTCTTTGTTGCCAGTTGTTTGATCACAGAGGTCAATGAATTTTTTAAAAATACAGGTCATACAGTATAAGTCTAAAACAAAGCGTGTCGCTATGATAAGGCTGAGTGTTAAGGTGAATAGAACTGGGCTGTGTACAGAGCCCCACTTCACAAGAAATGAAATAAAATATCACCAAAGTCAAGAAAGCGGACTTTTTTTTTTACAAATGTTACTCGCTGTCCCCTTCATAAGAATCGGAGGAAAGCAAAAAATTACCGTGGCCAGTTTCAGTGACAAAAAGGAAATCTTGTAAAATGTTTCATTAATTGTCAAGAGATATTAAAGGAAGCCCAAGATCGCGCGCTGTGAGGTTACACATACCGGTAATTTTAGCTTTTCACATAGCACTAATTTATTACACCCAGGACTAGGATGTATGAGGGGAAACGTGACCGGCCAATGCCAGGGCCTTTTCCTGCCCCACCCATTTTTTAAGGGAAAAGCCACAGGGACAAGGTTGTGTACATGTACCACAAGGCAGGAGAATTACAACACCCCACAATGGCACGTGTATGTCTTATGCTCTAAATTTGACAAAAATAGAAAGTATTTAGGTGTCATTAGTAGACAATAATATGAACAAAAATAATAGCTGCAGTACCCACCCCTGAGTCATCTGTCACGGCGAATATAGGCGCCACATAATCATCCTGACTGCACTCATTGTTTTCTGTGTCAAATATTGCTGCCATGGCCCACAGTGGTAACAGCCATCTAACAATCTGAGGCAAAAAATAATAATTTTATAATTATTTAATTTACACACATAATTTACATGTAACAATATTAATATTGTTAATGATGATAACAAGGTCACCAAATAACTACACTGGAACATCTGCAAAGAATTCTTAAACACTGATGGAAAAGACAAATGGTACAAGTAGTAAGAGAAAAAATCTTATCACAATCTTGTGGGACAAGCCAAAGAGATCATGAGATCAAGGCTATTATAGACCAACAACATCATCGTCAAGAGCAAAAAAGAAAAAAGCTGCCTACTCATTCACATAACTATCCCAACTGAAGGGAGCACCCCAATAAAAGTTACTGAAAAACTATCGAAATATAAGGACCTTGAGATTGAGATTGAGATTGAATGAATGTGAGAAATGAAAGCCAAAAGAATAACAGAAATACTAGGGGCGCACCCAACAACGAGACATCAAAATACAAAAACTACGGAAAATCATTCTATGTCAGCATCTCATATCTTAAGAAAGCAGGGATGTAAGTATGGAAAAAACTAAGCAGGCTTTTATTAGTCAAGCAGGCTTTTTTACTCAACTGCACATTCAAAATTCCCTAGTGAAATTAGTGCTCTTAGTGGCATCCCTGAGAACGGCACTATTCCTAGACCTGAGGAATGGATCTAGTTATTATGTTGGACTATGACATGAACTTAAAGGAAATAACAATGACAAAAATAATAATATGTGAGAAGTTAAACTACATCTCAGACACATAAAGAACATTAAATTAATGTAACTCACATTGACAGTGATGTAAACTGCTGTATAGCCTGCTGCATTTGTTAACTGGAAGTAGAATAAGAACACACGTACATTAGGCTTTAGCCAGAGTGAAAAAAGCCAACATTTTGCGACGCCGCCCAGCAAAGTTGTTTCCTTGTGAAGTCCGAGGAACAAGCGCAGAACTTCCATACAGATGTTGTAATACTGATCTAGGTATATATAGTGCTTCTGATAGGCTACAAATTTGCTTCGACCAATAAGAAGCACTTCCCATATCAGTGTCGTGTCATCAGTATGGAATTTCTGTGCTCGTTCCTCAGACATCATTTGGAGGGGATAACCAGGGCTGTTGTCATTAAGTATTGGCTGTTTTCTCAGGCTAAAAACATATTCAACAGTAACTTGGATTTTGCAAGACTTGCTACTGCAGAAAAATGATAATTCTGAACCTCTGTACCCATGTTCATATATCCGATCACACCAATTAATAACAAACTAAGATAACAGAGAGTTGACCGACAGAATGTGTGAAGCTATTAAAATAGTCCAACAAGTCCATTCAACAATCTCTTATGATGTTTGTCAGGAGTAGCAAATTACACAACAATGTCCTCTCTTTACTAGTCTTTCCATTAAGTTATTATAATTATGGTGATTAGCAAGATGAATATTGCCGTAGGAAAAAACCTTTAATTCAAATAGGAGACATTTTGAAATGTTGTTCAACACAGTAGAACCTCCAAAAGACATAATGTAACCAAAAGGGCAGGATAATATTTCACTGTAAGCAAACAACGACAATAAATTATTTCTTTTACTCACAAAAATTCCTTGGCATTTATTTTCTGGTCCTGCTGCAAAAAAAGTTAAATGGTTCATCAAAAGTGACAATGACACGAAATTGCTTCTATAATGGATAAAAGACAAGTTTAGTTTTATTAAGACACTGCCTGTATACATCCTCAATAGTTAAATAACTGTTACACTGGTGGCTACAAAGGTTTCAAAATTAAACGGCCATTCCAAAATCTCAGCTTTTCGTGGATCTGGATTTCTGTGGTGTTCCTAACAGTCTTCAAACCTTTAAGCCCAACAGTGACCAACATCAATTTTCTCCCAACAATGTCCATACATAATCCAGAGGTAATGAAAAAGTAATGGGAAATAATAGGTTGTAAGACTAAATAAAATGATTGCAAAGGAAATAATGCTTTGATCTTTTTAAATTCACTCCACTAATAATATTATTCCGCAAGGAAATCTACAGAGAACAGTCTGGGCTGAGTTGTTCAAAGCTACAATCATCATCAGAAGGGTTGGGAAGGTTGATTTTTCGACCCCTTTTTTTTTCCTTCCTCCCCCCACCCCTGCCCCAATGTTGAGCAAAAAGCTACTGTTTGTGTGCGTAATAATACTGTTGTGTTACATTCCAACATTGAATAGTGGGGACGGGGGATATTTAGCAAAAGAGAAAACTCCCTTTTTTGAGGATTAAAATGGACTACCGTTAAGTTGTACAACCTTCCCAACTACTTTTGTCTGTGATTGTGGGTTAAGATGACCCAGGGTTAGTGCAAAATTTGAATTCAGATTTGAAAGCTTAAAAAGCAAATTCAGTTTTATTCTTTTTTGTCCACAATGATGATAAGATGATCCTTAAAGAATAGAGAAAATTATCCGAGAAAATGCTTTTGAATAAAAGACAAAGAAACCAAGATTAAAATTTAATCTCAGGTTAGTGATAATTGGCCTTCAAACAACTTGGCCCTGGAGAATTCATATGTGGGTATTGGGGCTTAAAGGGTAAACCGAAAAAAATATAACTTTTTGAGGTACTTTTTAAGGCCAACTGCAATTTTTGACCAGGTTAATTCAGTTATTATGTGGGACCTCCCTGGGTCTATGATTTTAAGAGTAACCCCTTCATTCCACCCTGACAATGCAGTGAAAAGCAGTGGAGCAGTTCCTTGTTGACACAGTTTTGAATGATTCTTAGCCACTTATTTCGACTATAAAATATTATTACTACTGCTCAATAATTAACAGTTATTGCACAAGGTTGAGCAAAATATCATGATTTGTCTGTGGCAAGCAGAGCAATTATTTGCAGAAGCCGAAGGAAAATCACGATATATTGCGATAACTGAGTTCAATAATTGTTTTATCATTCGATCTGACACTGAGTTTGTTTGAATATCCTTGGGAAGCAAAGCAATCTGCCATTTTCATGCAACAGCGATCCCAAGAAGGAGAAAAGCACGGTTTCCTTTACGCATGAGTAGAATATTATTTGCAGCCAAACACTGTTGGACGGCATTACGCATGAGCAGACCATTATTTGTAGGCAGCTATTTGCAGGTCACGTGGTGGGCTCTCGGCCAACGAAAAGAAAGAAAAATTTGCCTCAATGATAATAATAATTATGCTGCAATACTTACTGACTCTCATCACAATGTCATGGACAATGCTGACAAAAGCTGACAGTTCACAAATAAAAATTATCCTGCAAACAGAAATAGAATTAAACAATGCTTAATTACTAAGTAACTGATCCTGATTACAATGCAACTCTGTGACTGACAAACTAAAGGGAATCCTTGAATGGCTTGTGGGAAAGATAAACTAGATGTACAATACATCTTACTTGGGATATTATCCCACTTTGTTCCCTCAAAGAAAAAAATTCTTCTGGCCATAAAATCCATCCTTTATAGACCAAGCTTTTTCACAAAAAAAGGAACTACGGTTTACTGAATATATTCATTATACATAAGGTAGTATGAGAAAGGTTATTATGACAGCCAGGCACACTCGTGCAGAGGTACAGGTAGAGATTTGAATCTACAGCTGAAGTCTGACTTCATAAGCCCTCAGCTTCTCAAACTTCCCAAAACGTCAGTGAGTTTTGGTAACATTACATTTCTGACCTTCCTTCTCCTGTGAAACACTGTAAGTTTATTGCCCATTTTTCAAATTTCCTGAAAGCTTCATCCCCCCCCCCCCCCCCCCCCCCCACACCACCCCCACCCCCCCACCCACACACACACAGTTTTAAAAAAAAAGAACCCACCACTACATTTTTACTACAAATATACAAACATCCTGAAATGAATTT